TTCAGATGAGGAAAATAATGCTGAAAGATTAAGTGATTCAGTCACTAATAAATGTCTGAATCAGGATTTAAATGGAGAATCTTCCTGCCAACTCCACCTCTAGCACCCTTCACTGCCCTACCTCGCTGCCATGATTAATCAAAATGATCATATTCAGTTCAAGAGAAGTGAAGAAAGAGATCTCCTCTTGCTCTCAGGGGAGAGGTGGTAGACTACTGAGGTGGAACATGGTATACTCTGTCAGAAGAAGTGGCTGCATCTGCTGATTGGCTTAAATGTCTTTCTTTGTTTAAACGAAGGGTCTATTGATGCAAGTGGTGGGGAGTATGGCTATAGAAAAATGACGGTGAAATAAAAACAAAATGTAAAAATGTTTTGTTTAGTTATTAAATAAAATTAATTCAAACAACCAAGAAGCTGCAGGGGCAAGTGGTGGCTCTAGGTATTAGGTTTCCAGTGGGAGATTTTTGTCTTTGGAGTGCAGGAGCAGGACACAGGAATGCCAGCTCTGCCATTAGCTGCTATGGGTGGGGGGTGTCCACTTCCAGGGCCCTCATTTCCTCATTCCTAAAATGGGGTTCAAGGTCCCCTCCACTCTAAGAGGCAGGGATGCTCAAGAGTCACCAGGTTAACCAGCAGGGGAGAAGAGGGTGACCAGCCAGATCACTCAGGCTGCCCAGCAAAGCCCTGCCCCTGAAACATCTGCCCTGGTTCTGGGCACAGGAAACAAGCTGTGCAGGTCAGTGATTCCATCACCCTATGAGAAACCTGAGCCAGCTTTCGCGTGGGTGAACCCTTTAAAGTTGTCTCCTATTACACTGTATTTGGCAAAGGTGGCTAATTTTCCAGCAAAGCCAGAAGTCAGGGAGACAGACAGAGAGAGACAGACAGAGACAGAGGTGGGGGAAAGGAGAGAAGGAGGGAGGGAGGGAGGGAGGAGAGACAGAGAGCCCACTCATCCTCACGGACTCTGAGAAGGCATGCCATTTTTCACAATTATTTCGGGTTTTGGAGGTCTCCTTCCTTATTGCTTTAAAGGGGGTTTCCTAGTGTCTCTTCCCCCCCCCCCCAGGAGCTCTGGGGTCCCCATGTCTCAGTAAGGCACTTGCCTGCAGAGCTCACCTGTCAGCTGGGCAGTTACAAGAGTCTTATGAGGAAGTCCCAGCAGCTGAGGTTTTCATTCTCAAACCTTTGCTATGGCTTCCAATGCCCTCTATTATCAACTTAAATCCTAATTATGGGATTTAGAATTGTCCCCCAACAGGTTTTCTCTAGCTTAACCATCGCCTCCTCTTGCCATGTCCCCACTTAAGGACAGCGAGGTAGAAAGTACAGGAGACCTAGATTTGAATCCCAGACCTGCCACATGGGCAGTGTGGGGAAAGCCACTTCACCTCAGTTTCCTCATCTGTAAAACAAGGAGGTTAGACTAGACGGCCTAGAAAGTCTCTTCCAGTCTTAGATCTATGATCCTGCATGTGACCTTGGACATGTCACTAACCTGTCTGGGTCTCAGTTGCCACATCTGTAAAATGAGGGAGTTGGGCGAGGTCCCCTCTCACTCGAGATCTCAGAATCTGTGAATAGCCTGAGCTCCCACGAAGGTCCCCTTCTGCCCGGGGTGAACACTTTGTTGATTTTTTTTAAATCCACATTCTATTATTTATTTCTGTTTCAGACACAAGTCTGACAACATTCATTATGTGGTTTTCCAGCCTCCAGCAGCAAACTGAAAAAAACCCTGGGAGAGGCTAACATAATCGACCAGAGCAAGAAATGTTTGCTGGCCCCTGAAAGCAAGCAAGTTACAGACACCCCCTACCCCGAGCACTTTGAAAACCACAGAGGTCTGGGGCCACTTGGTAGAGAGGCGGTCCAGGAGCCCTCCACCTGTCATTCACAGTCAGTAAATCTATTCAGAGCCTACCGTGGCCCTGAGTTGGGGTACAGAAAAAAGCCCCAAACAGTCCCTGACTTCGATGGGGCCTGGTCCGATAGGAGGAAGCACCGCTACAAACAAGATATGGACAGGATGCATTGGAGATCATCAATGCAGGGAAGGCCTTCACTGCTTTCCTCATCTTTAAATGGGGTGGGGGAGCCAAAGTCATCCCTCTTCCTATTCTAAACAGTCTGACTCTACGGGGCCAGGTTGGGTGGTGCGGCACACAAGGGTGTGCAGGAAGCCAGCCTGGCAGAACCAGAAGACTTGGCTCTGACATGCCCTCCACAGTCCTCTACTTCATAATAATAATTAATAAAAGTAATGATAATCATGGTGATGTGATAATAACAACATGCAGAAATGCTTGTGGACTTGCCTCGAGGCCTCCACAACAGGCTCTGGGGGTGCCCTGGGGCCCAGGGTCACACAGGTACTGTCAGAGCCTGGATTCAAAGCTCTTGACTCTCCCCTGGTTCTAAGCTCAGTCAAGGACAATCCTAGAAGCCCAGAGCTGGAAGGAATCTTGAAGCTCTATACAGTCTACCCCACTCCCGCCCCCATTTTATACATGAGGAAACTGAGGCTCAAAGAACATGGAGGGCCTTGGCCAAGGTTGCAGATACTACTGGACTTCAGAAAGGATGGCTTGTCTGTGTGTTTGTAGCTTTGGGTCTCCTTCCTCATTCTCAAACTGCTGGCTGTCATTCCTTAGGCCAGGCCATCTCTCAACTAAGGAAGTATAACTACAGACACACACATACATATATATACACACACACATGTATGTATAGATACATATACATACATATATAAACACATACAGGAATTAGGAAGACATCCTCTTGAGTTCTGATCTCGCCTCAGACACTAACTGTGTGACCCTGGGCAAGTCACTTAACCCTTTTTGCCTCAGTTTCCTTGTCTGTAAAATAAGTTGGAGAAGGAAACGGCAAACCACTCTGGTGTCCTCACCAAGAATGATTCAACTGGAGTCAAGAAGGGTCAGACACGATTGAAACAAGTGAACACAATGAATGGACCCTAGATCTAGGATTCCATGAATTTATTCTCCCATCTGTTACCTCATTTGGTCCTTGTGGTAGCCATATGAGTGGGAGAGAGTTCTCTGAGCCCTGGTTCCTTGGACTACCTCCCTCACAGGACTATAGGGGAGGCGTGGAGAAGATCCCAGACGCATAGTCAAGCAGCGGATGGGGTACACACTCCCACCTCAGAGGTCCCTTCTGACGATAACCCTAAGTGACAATCTCTCAAAGTGGACTTCAAATTGGCACAATCATATGATCACAGATTTAGAGGTCATCAAGTCCAGCCCCCTCATTTTTCCTCATTTTACATGTAAAGAAACTGAGGCACAGAGCAATTGAAGCAGGTTCTTTCCCCCTTCCTCCATGACTTCATCCACTGCTGAAACATGACTGACCTATTTCCTGCACCTCAAGTCTCTTCTCACTACTGGATCCTGAGAAAGACTGGCCCCTATCTGATGGGGATGGGATCTGGACCCCTAAAATGAAAATCTCCTGAACCCAGATCTCTGGGTTCTCTGCCCCTGAGGCACCAGGCCCACCGCCAACAATAATCCTTTTAACTGCCCCATCTGCCAGGCTCAGAGGCCACTTAACTCCCTCAGTTGTCTATACCTGGCCCCACCCCAGGCTACTTGCCACTCCTTAATCTCATCCATATCTTCCCACAGTCTTTCTGTATAAAATATCAGTCTTAACTTCATCAAATGCTCAGATTCTTAAAATCTGTTCAACTTGTATTGGTATCACAATCTATTGGTGATACAATAAACCTTGTTTAGTAAAAGATGGCATGCATAGTTGAACTCTTTCAAGGCAGACCTCTGCCCTGTACCTTGGGGTTCCCAGCACCCCTAGACCGCAACACTATCCCTCCCCCTCCCCAGGTCATATGTTCCCCTTCCCAATATGCTTTCTTGAGGCCCTTTCACTACTACTATTGATTCATAGCACTCAAAATCTAACCTGGAGAGGTTAGGAAGGCCTGCTTTTTTTTTTTTTGAGACCCTAAGAAGAATAGATTTAGAACCACGAGAGGTCTGGAGAGATCACCTAGGCCAATTCCCTTCCTGGGGAAACTGAGGCCCAGAGAGGGAGAAGTGACTCATCCAAAGTCACACCTCAAGTCACAGACCAGAAATCTGAACCCAGATTCTATGATCCCAAGGCTTGACTTGTTTCCTCCACTATCCTAAGCTGTCTTCCTCAGGAAAAGAAATCTGAGATTTAAAGCCAGAATAAAACCTCAAAGTGCCTCCTCCCCATTTTACAGTTGAGTAAACTGAGACACCAGGGCAGCTAGGTGAAAGTTGTAGAGCGCTGGTCCTGAAGTCAGGAAGACCTAAATTCAAATGCAGCCTTAGACACTTACTAGCTCTGTGACCCTGGGCAGTTAAGTGACTTCACTTAACCTTGTCTGCCTCACTTTCCTCACCTGTAGAATGAGCTGGAGAAGGAAATGGCAAACCACTCCAGGATCTTTGCCAAGAAAACCCCCAAAGGGGTCATGAAAACTGAAATGACTGAACAGCAAAACCCGCAAGTACAGAAATGTTAAGTGGCTTGCCCCCGGGCGAGGGGAAAAGGTTCCAAAGTCAAAAACCAAAGGGCCTTTGCTACCACTGGGGAAAGTGGGAATGGCGGATGGGGTGGAGAGAAGAAACAACGTATTCATGACTAACAATACAAAAGAATTGCAAAGTAATTGGGGGTGGCAGGGAGAAGCTCTCATTAGGTGGCGGTGGGGCGAGATTGACCTGGCCCTGGGGAGGGTCCGTAGCTCCAGCCTGCCCCGTGTCACTCTCCCGGAGACCTCAGACACACCCAGTCTCCCCAGGACCCCCGCGAAAATGCCCCGATGAGAGCCGCTGGTTCGGCACGTACTCCCAGCGGGGCTCCCTCCCCCAGCTCCCCAGGCCCAACGCTCAGATCCCGGATCCCCGCACCCCGATGCTCTGCGGCCACAGAGCCCACCAGCCCGGGACTGTCAGCGCAGCGGCACTCACTCGCTGCCAGGCTCATCCCTCCGCTCCGCCTACAGGCACAGGTGCGGGCCGGGCTGCGCTCCAGCCGTGCAGCCGGTCCCTCCCTGTCTGTTTCAGGAGAGACTCTGTCTATCTCTGGGACGCGGGCTGGCCAGGCCGGAGCTCGGCCGGGCAGGGACTACCGGAGTGAAGCAACCTCGTTTGGCTTACGTCACCCAATCACGAGGATTAGGAGGAGGAGGGGCTTGGAGGAGGAGGAGCAGGAGGAGAATCCGCCGAGCTTTTCCAAGGTCGCTCCCTCTCATGTGATCCCAGCAAGGTCCTGCAAAATTCTTCTCTTCCCTCCCCTCCTTCCCCAGGTCCTCCTCGTCCCTCCTCAACCTTTGGAGGGGAGGAGTGAGAGGGCCTGGACAATCTCCCCCCACCGCCACCCAAATAAAGCTGCTCGAGGCTACCCCCAATTACTTTGCAATTCTTTGGTAATGAGTTAGTCATGAATATGTTGTTTCTTCTCCCCACTCTCACTCTCACTTCCCCCGCGGTAGCAAAACCTGTTTCATTTTTTACTTTGGAACCTCAACATCCAGCACCCTGCCTGTGCACATAGTAGGCGCTTAATACTAAAAGCTTATTGAATTGAATTGAATTACCATTTAGGTCCAGATAAGCCTCTTTTGTTAATGGGACTGTCAACCGTCATAATAATATCGGATATTTATATATCAATCAATAAACGACTATTAGGCACCTTCTTTGTGCCTGGCACTATGCTGGGTGCTGAAAATTCAGAGGCAAAAATAAAACAGTCTTTGCAGTCAGGAAGTTTACATCTCTGTAGCTCCAGCAGTGTCTGGCACTTGGTAAACACTTAACAAATGCCTACTGATTGAGAGCTGATTTCTTTGTGGTCTAGTGGAAAGAGCCCCCTACCTACCTGTGTAACCTTGGACAGAAAAGCCGTTCCCTGTCTGTGCCTCAACTTCCTCATCTGTAAAATGATGGAGTTGGACTGCATTGCACCTGAGGCCCCTTTCAGCTCTAAATCTACTATCTTTTATACATTGTATGGATCAGATACAGAACTGGAAGAATCCTTAGACGTCATCTAGTTTAACACTTAGATTTTATAGATGGGGATTCTGAGGTCTGAGGAGGTGAAAGCAGCATGAAACAGCTTTACCTGGTAGCTGGAGAGCTGGACTCTGGCCTGTGAAGACTCCAGCTGAGATCCTTAATCTGGCACTAAACTAACTTTATGACCATGGACAAGTCACTTCCCCTGTGAGCCTCAGTTTGCTTCATGACCATGGACAAGTCACTTCCCCTGTGAGCCTCAGTTTGCTTCATGACCATGGACAAGTCACTTCCCCTGCGAGCCTCAGTTTGCTTCATGACCACGGACAAGTCACTTCCCCTATGAGCCTCAGTTTGCTCCTCTGTAAAGTTGTTTGGTAGCTGGTTGGTCCTTTGTTTCAAACAGGACTGAAATGACATCACTATGCTAGAGTCAAGTTACAATGCATCCGACTGTGGCTGATCACATCAATAGGAACTCAGCATGCTCTACCACAGGTCGGGCACAAATAGGCCATGTGAACATTTAGGGTGGATTCTCTAAATGTGTGCATCTTGCATATTTTTTTAACTACTTCAATTCCGCTTTGCTCATAGAGCATGGCTCTTTCTCTGATGTGGGCACATCATGCTGGGCAGTCCTGTGCCAGTGTCTCCCATGTCACACAATCAATTCCACAGTTCTTAAGAGAGACCTTGACAGCGTCCTTGCATCGCTTCTTCTGACCTCTGTATGAGCGCTGGCCTGTATGAGATTCGCTGTACAGCAAATGGAGAAGTTTTGAACGCTGTGGATAAGGTCACATTGACAATGAGCTTGACACAGGAATTGCCAGGGCTGGCTACCGACTATCGAACTGAAGGTCTGCAGAACTCTTGTGCTGACCTCGTCATATGCCTGTGAAACCTGGACAGTCTCCCAGCGCTACCAAACTGAATTGCTTCCACCTGAATTGTCTTAGCAAGATGCTGAAGATCACCTGGCAGGATAAGATAGCAGATATTGAAGTCCTTTCTTGAGCTGAACTGCCAAGCATTCAAACTCTACTGCAGAGACTTCGACTTCCATGGGCTAGCCACATTGTTGGAATGCCAAACCTATGCTACCTAAAAAGACTGTGAAGTGGGGATGACATGGACAGCTACCTCACCCGGTGGTCGAGACTCAAGTGAAAAAAGCCAGATAAAGTACTCTACAACTTTAAAGTCCCATGTAAATGCCAGCTCTTATTATCTGAATTAAGTAATTTCTCCCATATTATACAGCCAATAAGCTTCAGGGCCAAAATTTGAACCCAGATTCTCTGGAGGTAGAGGCTGAATACTTCCATGACCCCAAGCTGTCTCTCCCTTTAAGAGCCATTTTAAAGTAGGTGCAGCGAAAACAGGTAATTTTCCTTCTTTCTTGGACTTTGTTATGAAGGAAAGCTCCCTGGGACGATATAGGAAAGGGATATATTTGGGAAATGTAGGTCATAGAAAAATGAAGTATATCAATAAAAACTTATTTTTTTAATCTATAAAAAAGTTGGGAGTTGTTTTCTGGGGAAAGGGTGCTATTATTTCCCTTTTTACTTCCTCCATGCTCCTAATAAAAAATTCCATATTAAAATTTTGTTTTGAAATTTACCTCTTTTTTACTAGGAATCACAAGAGTTCTGCTGTGTGATTCTGGGCAAGTAATCCTGATTGGAAAGAGAGAAAAAGAAAGAGAAAGAGAGAGAGAGAGAGAGAGAGAGAGAGAGAGAGAGAGAGAGAGAGAGAGAAGAGAGAGAGAGAGAGAGGAAGGAAGGAGGGAAAGAAGGGAAAGGAAAGAAGGAAGGAAGGAAGGAAGAAAAGAAGGGAGGGAGGAAGAAAGAAAGAAATATAATCTCTGTCTTTTATTCCTAATTTCAACAATTCTTTAAGCAAATGCTAGTCATTGCCCTACATGGCACCGAGTCATGAGCCAGTCAATGATGGGTATAGAGATAACCATTAACCAGTCCATGCCCTAACTGGGAAGACTGAGCTAGACAGGAAAAGACAAACCACCTTGCAGAATGCAGCACTGTCTGACAGCCCTTGTCACTGTGGCCATCGGCTTGCTTTGATCACTTTGCTTCCTTACCAGGAAAAGCCCTCTGGGTGGGAGAGCTATCCAGAAATAGTTGTGATGTCAAAACAAAAGGCAAGAATACAACTGTAATGACCCAAACCACACATTTTAAGGCGATCCTTCAGTCCCCCATGTTCTCATCTATTCTCCCTTAAGCATCTGGTGTCAGGGCTTCCATTTTCCACCAGAAAGTGGACCTTAATAATATTTCCTTTCCTTCCATACCAGACAATGTGTCATAGTAAAAAGAGCTCTGGTTCCGAGTCAGCAGACCTGGGTTGGAATCTCAAGTCTGCTACTAATTTGGGCTATCACTGCATCTCTCTGGGTTTGTTTCTTCATCTTTGAAGTTTGTTCAACTTAGAACAGCAACTGCATTCTTCCACCTAGGGCAAAAAACAACTGGGGGTGGGGGAGTGGCAGGGGAGGGGACAGTATACACTCCCCACCTCTTGTTGTCCTGGAAAAAGCCCTGTTTGTGATGTCCTAGATCCACCTCTGGTTGAACTGGATGATCTCCTGTCCCGAAGGAACCTAACTACATTCCACTGGAGGATAGCAACATGTTCATACACAAATAATACAAAACACATGCCAAATAAACACAAACTAACAGCTGGGAGAGGTCAGGAGAGACCTCGGGTAGACAGAATCTCAGCAGAGCTCTAGAGAAAGTTAGGGATCACAAAGGTGAGGAGAGATGGCATCCCAGGTTCTGGGATAAGCAAAAAAGCCAGGTGACAGAAGGGATGTGACATACTTGGAGCACCCAGTTTGACCAGAACAGAGAGTGCCCAAACAGAACCAAAATCCAGAAGGAATCACAGACAAGCACAGACATTCTGGGTTGAATTGATCCTCAAACTCAAGTTGTTAAAAACTCACAGATTCGTGTATAACCAATCTGCTTTTTTTCTTGTATGAGCTCTCTGCAGTAGAGTTTTGAATGCTTGGCAGTTCAGTTCGAGAAAGGACCTCAGTGTCTGGTATCTTATCCAGCCAGGTGACCTTCAGAATCTTCCTAAGACAATTCAAATGGAAGTGATTCAGTTTCCTGGCATGGCGCTGGTAGACTGTCCAGGTTTCATGGGCATACAACAACGAGGTCAGCACAAGGGCTCTGTAGACCTTCAGTCTGGTAGGCTGTAGCTCTTGTACTTTTCTCTTGTTGTATTTGATGTTTGTTAAGTTTAGGATATTTTACAGATGAGAAACCTAAGTCTGAGAGAGATTAAGTGGCTTGCCCAGGGTACCACAGCTAGTAAGTGTCTGAGACAGGTCTTGACTCCGATGGTTCTAATGTTCCACCTAACTGCTGTGTTTAAAAAGAAAAGCAAACTCTACCTAATAATAAAAATTCACAGTTTCATATATAACCTGCTTTTTTGTGTGTTCTACTTCATAATGATAATAGCCAGCATTTATGTAAGGGTTTAAGTTTTGCAAAGTACTTTACAAATATTTCCTCATTTGATGGAAATGCTCCTTTTATTTGGTGGTCAGATCAGAATAAAAAAAGAAAATTTAAAGGAAAAAGAATCAAGAGTATGTGTACTTGAGAAATATCATCAATGTCTCAACATAGGTGGCAATTGCCTGGGCACACCCAAGTCGAGACCATCCTACTGCTACAATCCTACCTCTCCCTGATCACCCCCAACACATCGAGCAATCTGGATCTACAAAATGTGTTCTGAGATTTCCTGGAGTATCTCAACTAAAGGAAGACACGAAAAGGGTGGTTCACATCACCCTGGACAAGCAAATCCCATTGTAGGGTCTCGGGTCTAGGGATTTCCAGTCTTGACTGTGGCTGCCACAGCAGCAAAGACAAATGTGGGCCTGGAATGAAGACAAGGGAAACTGATGAACCCAGGGAGCCGTTATGTGCCTCCAGCAAGCGTCTTGGCAGCTTTGTGTAGATGGCAGGCTTCCCATGATGACTCCTTTTAAGAGCTGTTGCTCGTCAGCAGTGGGGCCCAGGCACAGCTGGAAAACACTTCTCTGAGGCATGCTGAAAAGAGAAATGTCA